GTACTTAGATTCCATGATCATACGAATGTGAGGGTTTCAAGCAAACACAGAATCTGAGATTAGGAGTTTTCCGATCTCAACTTTTACTTGCTCTTTGTGGTGAGACCTTGTTTTCCAAGTGGGATTGCAAGTCAAGAGGAGCATCAAAAATATAAGATCACTTATAAATTCGACATTGTTTAAAATCTTGCATGATACAGAAGATGATACAAGAATACGACATGGTTTTTAAAATGTTTGAAATTATGAAACACTCCCTCAATCATGAAATAAATGTCACTTTTTGCAAAACGAAAAATTCTAAAATAAGTGTTAAATTTTTTATTCAAAAGCAAGTTTCAGCCATATTTTGCAAATAACCCTTTTAAAATAGTGTTAATTGCAGCTGCTAAGGGTATTCTAGTAACTCATCTACCCTATTTAATTATTTATTAAACTGTAGAGAAGTTGTCTAGTAACACATACTCCCTTTATTCTTATTATACTAGTGATGTCTGTTCGCGCAATGCGCGACCCTAGCCCAGTTTATCTGTAAATCTTAGAAATATTTATATTTGAAAAAAAAAATTGTATTTGGAGCGATATATTTTAGAAATGTTTGAAGAATTTAGAAATATTTTATAAGTGTGATCATAGAAATATTTGTATTTAACAAAAAAAGAAATTGTATTTCGCCATGTATGTTTTAGAAATGTTTTATAAGTGTTACTTATTAAATATAAATAGACTTAATCGAATATATGTGTTGAAGTAAATGTTAGACAAAATATAAAAGTATCCTAATAAGTTTAAATATTAGTAAGATGATTTATTGATGTTCTCCATTGGTCGTGCCAAATCAATACTTAGTTTTGTAGATTTTTAATAGCTTTGTAATAAGTTTCATCCGAAGGGTATACACTTAAAACAAAATTGACACTTTGTAACAAAAACCTAATTAATCAATTCAATTTAGACTCCATAATTAAGAAAAGAAAATTACTCTAATTGAATGAAACATAAAGAAATTTTTTTTTAAAAAAAAAATGTATCACGTAAAGTGCAAAGGGAGATTTAGTAATTTAGTTGTGGTCAGACAAAAGGGCAATTTAGTACTTTGTTCATGTCACGTGGTAATTATAGGAGGTGTTTGAAAGGGGAGTTTTTATTTCTAATATAGTAGGATATCGTTTTTGGATTTATACAATTTTTAGAAATACTATGTCTTTTACAAAATCGAGACACTTTTTTCCCTATTTTTTTCAATATTACCCTTGCATTCAGTATTTTGGATTTTAAACACATTATTTAATATTCTATTGGTATTGATGAAAGACTAAAATGTCCAAATGGTCCCTTACATTTGGGCCTAATTCAATTTATGTTCCTAATATTAACATTTCAATATCGTAGTCCCAGACATTATGTTTTCAAACTTTTTTGGTCTCATTTCACTGTTTCCGGCTATTGACATGCCGGAATCAGGGGTATTTTTGTCTTTTAATTTAATTTGAATTTCTATTAAAATTTAAATTATTAAAAATATTTTAAAATTCATATTTCATTATTTAATTGTTAAAATGTTATTTATTAATTAAAAATATTATAGTAAAAATTTTAAAATTTACATTATTTTCAAAACTAATTTTTTCATTTATCATTTACCTTAGGCCAAAGTAAATAGTAATTATGTTGCACTTTTAACATTGGACCCACTGTAACTTAAAAAATTTACCGACTTACAGTAAATAATTCAAAATTAATTTTTTTTAAAAAACAAAGAAAAAGCAAAGCTATTTTTTTTAACTCTGACCGCTACACTAAACCCTAAATGGTAATTATGTTGCACTTTTAACCTTGGACCCACTATAATTTAAAAAATGTGCCGAGTTACAGTAAATAATTCAAAATTTAATTTTTTTTTCAAAAGGAAAAAGTAAAACCAAGATTTTTTTACTTTGACCACTACAGTTGAATTTTGAATTATTTACTGTAACTCGCAAAAGTTTTTAACTTACATAAGGGTTAAAAGTGCAACATAAGGGTTTACTGTAGCGGTCCATTACTTTGTTTTACTTTTTTTTTAAATTAAATTTTAAATTATTTACTATAACTCAGTAAATTTTTTAAGTTATAGTGGGTCCAAGGTTAAAAAAGTAATGTAGCGGTCAGAGTAAAAAAAATCTTGGTTTTCATTTTTTTTTGGAAAAAAATTAAATTTTGAATTATTTACTGTAACTCGATAAATCTTTTAAGTTACAGTGAGTCCAAGGTTAAAAGTGCAACATAATTATCATTTAGGTTTTATTATAGCAGTCAGCATAAAAATAATCTTAGTTTTGCTTTTTCTTTTTTTTTTAAAAAAAAACTGAATTTTGAATTATTTATTATAACTCAGTAAATTTTTTAATTTACAATGGACCCAAGGTTAAAAGTGTGACATAATTATCATTTAGGGTTTACTGTAGCGGTCAGATTAAAAAAAAAATCTTAGTTTTGCTTTTTCTTTTTTTTTAAAAAAAATAATTAAATATTTAATTATTTACTGTAACTTGGTAAATTTTTAAAGTTACAGTAGGCCCAAAATTAAAAGTGCAATATAGTTACCATTTACTGTGTACTTAAATTAAATAGTAAATGAAAAAAGTAATTTTGAAAATAATAATAAAATTTATAATTGTATAATAATATTTTTAATTAATAAATAATATTTTAACGATTAAATAATGAAATTTGAATTTTTAAAATATTTTTAATGATTTAAATTTTAATAAAAATTTAAATTAAATTAAAAGATAAAAATACCCCTGATTCCAGCATGTCAATGGCCGGAAATAGTGAAATGGGACCAAAAAAGTGTGAAAACATAATGTTTGGGACTACAATATTGAAATGTTAATGTTAGGGACGTAAATTGAAGTAGGCCCAAATGTAAGGGACCATTTGGACATTTTAGTCTTGATGAAATTGATATAAATACATATATATTGGAATGAAGGTAGTACAAACCAAAATAAGTCATTTGATACATATTTAATACTCCTTATTTGTTAATTCACTTTGATGAATCATTTTCGTTCGAAATAGACTGTTAATAGAAGATATGGGGAGTATTGATGAAATATTAGTTTTATCAAATTAAACTACAGTGTTAACTGTTAATCATTTTTGTTAGAGGAACACTGACTGACTATTTTTCAAAATGACGATCTGAAAAAATTCTTACAAACTAAAGTTTGAATCCATCTCATAAATCAATAATATGATATGGTGAAAAAGTTTACAGGTAATTCTGCTCACTTATACTTTATCGAGGCTGGGTACAAATGGCTCAGAGGTGAGCAACCAAAGATGCAGGAAGCCAGCATCATTTGAAATCGATACAGCTTGCCTAAACAGAGCTTCATATCTTGGATTGCATGGCATAGAAGACTATGGACTCAGGGAAGAATGGATCAGCTTCATTTATTGACAGGATCCATACAGTGTGAATTATGCCTGGCCCCTGAGGAAACAGAAGAGCATTTATTTTTTCATTGTAGTTATGGTGACCAACTATTGTCTTTGTTGGAAAGTTGGGTGGGGATATTAAGGTTCCCCAGAAGCATGGATCAGTGTCAAAGGATGCTTCAAAAACTCAGGTGATTTAGCAAGATAAGGCAGGGGTGCTTTTTGCAATGATTAATGCGTGTATTTACCATGTTTGGCCGGAGAGAAACCAACGGAAATTTACAGGTTAGAAATGTGATGTGCAAAACAGAGCTGCTATGATAAAAAAAGAGATTCTTTGGAAGTAAAGTTTGTTGTAATAAGTATAGGCCTGTAGAGAAAGAGTTCTTGTGTAAGATAGGATATATGGTAAACTGAGATAGGGAGGTTTTGTAATTCAGAACAGAGAAAGGTGTAAAACAGTGGGTTGAAGTGAAGTTCTTAATGAAATTTACATTTTACAAAAAAAAAAAGTTTATATACAGGCGTGACGCTTTTGTGTGACACTAACTATAACACAATTTAATTACTTCTTATATATCATGTAATTTGTGTTGATACATATACCATAACCACATATTTTCAATATAGATAATTGTCATTATTATTTTATTTTTTATATCAATGTTATATTATTATTTTTTAATGAAAATGTTGTATTATTATTTTTTTTAATGAAAATCGACTATTTTATTGAATTTTTTAACTATAATATTAAAATAAATAAGCTCTAACCCGAGAAAAGTGAATCCTTAGTCTTAAAAATATAAGTTCGAAAGTGATTGTGAATAGTATATGTATTAACACAAATTACGTAGCTTATAAGAAGTGATTGAATTATGTCACAGTGAATATCATACGAAAGTGTCACAGAACGCTATTTGATTTTCTAACTTTTTGTTAAACTGAAAATTAGTTCCACATGTATTGTAAACCTCTCTCTTCGGGAAGCGATTCCTCCCAGGTACAAATTTGTATTTGAAAATGATTATCGGATCCCACCGTTGAAACCTCTGTATAAAAAATATGAACTGACAAATAAGCTACCATGTTTTCAATGAAAGAAAGGGGGAAAGATAATCACACAAAATAGTTGGATGAAAATGATGCGATGCATGTATAATCATTAATTCATCTAGGTTTGTTAACAAATGAAAATGATTTTCTCAAATTGCATCATTTCTGGAAATTATATTCTGTAAATTATACTATTTTTAACACAATTCATAATGATTTTGTGAAACAGCGAAAGTACATTATTTTTTTCCCATTTTATGCGTTCCGTAGGTGAAATGGTGTAATATTTCAGTAACCTTTAGTATAGTCACGTAGCCGAGATTTGGTCCTTGCTGTTGTATACTCCCTAATCCCCCGTCTTTATTATAATACATTTTGATTTCTATTAACTTTCATTTATCGTATTTTCTTAATTGAAAATGAAATTTTAAAAATATTTTATAATAATTATGATAATACAATATATGTGAAAATATAATTTTTAAATTTTTTTCTCAATTGAAAGAATACAACAGATGAAATTTAGCAGAAATCAAAATGACAAATGACAAGGACCGGAGGGAGTATATGCCCAGCTTTGTTTATAGTAAATATGCAGTGGGCTGCTTGTATAAAGCTGAAATCAGGATCCAGGAATTGGAGGAACATTGCCAACAAGTTGGTTCCTGGCAAGTGTCAGATTCCGTAATGCAGTTATGTTAAACAGGGATGGCGGAATTTTGCCTGTTAACTTGTTTGATTCTAGGAGCAATTCTTCAAGAAGCGTCAACTGCCCTAACTCAGGCGGGATTTCTCCTGTCAGGCTATTGTTAAAAAGACGCAGATACTGAAGCTCGGATATGTTTCCGATCCCAGCTGGTATCCCTCCTGTGTGGTCAAATAATGACAGCTGTGTGAAATTAATTACAATTATTGCAATAAGAGTAGGAGGATTTTATATGTTGGATGTAAACAACATAAAGATACCTGTAAGGTTATTAGAATTGAAGTTAATGTAGTAGAGTGCGCTGCAATGTGAAAGACTAGAGGGGATTTTGCCAGAAAATCTGTTAAATTGGAAGTCTAACCAATTCAAGTTTGGATGAGTGATGCACATATCATCTGGCAAGCTACCGTAGAATCCATTTGATCCTATGCCTATATCCTTGAAGATGGTCGAATTTCCTGAACTCAAATCTAGTTTCCCTGCCATGCCAAACAAGCACAACCCAATTCAATAATTTTATCAAGACATTGGCAGTACTAAGAGAGAACCCACCACCAAAACCCAAAAAAAAAAAACCTGTGAAGTTGTTAGCCCAGAGATATAAATACTGAAGTGACGACATATTCCAAATCCCAACTGGAACTTTCCCTTGGAAATTGTTGTTCACCAGAAAAAGTGTATTCAGCGATCTACAAAAAGGCAGGCTGGGAGGTATCGATCCCGTCAGGATGTTCCCGTAGAAATCCGCGTATTCTAAATTCATGGCATTCTTGCACATATCCCTTGGAAGAGCTCCAGATAACTTATTATACCCAACTGATAAATGAGTCATTGAAGACATATTGAAGAGTGTTGAAGGTAGCCCACCTGTCAAATTGTTTTTCATAAGAAACAGCTGCTCTAGTTTGGAAAGGTTGCCAATGTTTCCAGGTATGGAACCCTTAAGTTCATTGCTTTTAAAACTTAGGAACTTCAACTCTGAGCATTGAGACAGGGTAGCTGGAATTTCCCCTTGGAAATTGTTCTCATAGAGAAACACATATTCTAAATTCATTGCATTCTTGCACATATCCCGTGGTAGACTGCCGGATAACTGATTCTCCGAAAATGCTAGATCGCTTAGTGATGATATGTTGAAGAGTGTTGAAGGTAGTACACCAGTCAAATTGTTTTCACCAAGTCGCAACCACTCAAGTTTTGAGAGGTTGCAAACATTTTCGGGGATGGAACCCGTAAAAATGTTGTGTCCCAAACGCAGGATTTTGATCTCCGAGCATTGAGACAGGGTAGCTGGAATTTCTCCACTGATGTGATTGTATGACGCATTAAAGACTTCCAATTTTGGGAGATTAGTACAGAGATCATCAGGAAGAGTCCCATTAAGGAAGTTGTACATCAAGTCAATGGACCGCAACGTGGAAATATTGAAAATGGTACGAGGGATTGGGCCACTCAGACTGTTATTATGCAGGACTAGTTCTTCCATTCGGGTAAGGTACCCTAAGCTCTGGGGAATCTGCCCGCTTAGATCATTGAGCTGGATATATAGATTTTGCAACTGCTTCAGATGGCCGATTTCATCTGGTATGAATCCATAGAAATTGTTTCGGCTTATGTCCAGAGAAACAAGGAAGGAGAGATTCCCTACTTCTTTGGCTATTGTGCCTTGGAACGATCCCGCGGACAGATTCAATTCCGCAACTCTTTGGTGCTTCCGACTGCAAGTGAGGCCTACCCAATCGCAAACTGGAGTGCCTTTGGTCCAGTTTGTAGCTAATATGTTATAAGGATCATGTGTTATACGAGACTTGACGGCCAGAAGAGCAGATTCATCTGTGGAGATGCTCTTGAATATTGGCTGAGCTCCACAAGCAATGAAGCAGCAGTATTGGAATGAGAAAAACCATAATAACGTGGAGATCCTTGCCATTGATGTTGTTAATAGCCAATTGAACACAATGTAATGAAGTGATATGTTGATTTGATACCCCCTTATGTTACATTGATTTTATACCAATGGAAATTAGTTGTTGGGCTTAAAAAAGAAAAAGCCTAATTGAACCCACCGCATCAGATTGTCGGTCTTATTATTCAGCTTTCAATTTACCACGAGTCAAGGGCAACCAAGCCACTCGAAAGCTTTGCTTGACTTTGATCTAAAATCGTTGTATTCTATCTAATTTGATGTGGATCATTAAGCACCATATATTTTTACCCCCAACTTGGCAACCTTTTTGCGAATTTATTTTTCAAGAAAGCATCTCAAGAAGGGTATGTGTAGTTGATAAGCTGTTATGGATTTGTTCCTTTGACTTGCTTATGTATCAACAGGAACTTCGCAATGGAAACACCGACGGTGAGTTGACGATACCGACTGTGACTCGAAGGGAAAAGAACTTTTAAGGAATCAGAGTAATGAGATGAAATCTATAGGGCCCCTTTGTATGCAATTTTTGCTTAGATTTTCTAAAATCGGAAGAAATTTGCCAGTCAGTTTGTTAATTTGAGTACACACATTTAGTCTCTCAATGCACCTGCCAAATTGTTCTCTAACAAATACAACTGCTCTAGTTTTGAAAGAATATTTCCGGGAACGAACCCCGAAAATTCCTTGCCTCCAAAACTCAGAAACTTGATCTCTGGGCATTTGGAAACGGTAGCTTGAATATTCCCACTATTAGATTATTGTCTTTCAAATCAACGTATTCTAAATTCGGGACATTACTGCATAGATCATCAGAGAGAGTCCCACTAAGAAAGTTGAACATAACATCAATAGACCTCAATGAAGAAATGTCGAAAATGGTAGAGGCATTGGTGCGTTCATAAGATGGCAAGTAACATCGAATGAGCCGTAATAGATTGAAGAAATATTTTAGAAGTGTTACATATAACGCTAAAAGGCGAGTTTGATGCACTTTTGGTTACTTTCATCAGACAAGTAGTAGTAACAGTGCTTCGCAGTGCACCTCCGGTGGTCGGAAATCATGATCCAGGAATTGGCGGGACGTTTCCCGCAAGTTGGTTATTGACGAGGGCCAATACATTTAGTGTTGTGATGTTAAATATTGATGCGGGGATTTTGCCGGTTTAAGTTGTTCCGTTGCAGAAACAAATTTCTAATACTCGTAGACTGCCCTACCTCGGCGGGAATTTCACCTGTAAGCTGGTTCCCCCAAAGTACTACGAATTCCAATTGCGGATGCTGCCCCAACTCTGCTGGGATCTTCCCGGAGAATTGGTTCCTATCCAACATGAGGTTCACCAAGCTTGACATATTCCCAATGGATGGAGGAATGACACCGGTGAGACTATTTTCAGCCATTAGCAAATCCCAAAGCTTGGTCATGTTTCTCCCAATATCACTTGGAACACTACCTGAAATTCATCTAGGTATCCGTGAGAATGATAGTCATGCTAAATCGTTATGGAATGCTTGAAAGGTTTTGTATATACCTGTGAAGTTGTTGGAAATCAAATCAAGGGTGTCCATGGCACTGCAATGTGAAATGCTGGAAGGTATTGACCCATGAAATTGGTTATTGTCAATGACTAACCCCTTCATATTCGGACATCTAAAACAGAAATCATCCGGCAATCTGCCGTAGAGTTCATTTCTGCTTCAAGCTATCGCCTCCAAGATGGACGAATTACCCGAACTCATCATGTCTAACCTCCCTGCAGCCCATGACAAACAATTAATACAGAGTTAATAATACACAACCTTTCACCACAAGGCCGGTCATCAGGAGGAACATAGAACAGCCCTTCAAAAAAAAAGAAACAAATTTATAAACCAAAAAAACAAACAAGAAAGGGAAGAAAGAAGAAGAGCCTGTTAAGTTGTTATCCCGGAGATCTAAATACTGAAGCGATCACATATTCCAAATGCCAACTGGAATTCTCCCTTGCAGATTGTTGGTAGTCATCCAAAATAAGATCAGTGATCGACAAAAAGACATGCTAGAAGGGATTGGTCCTGTTAGGGAGTTCAAATCGAGCCACACAGATTCAAGATTCATGGCATTCTTGCACATATCCCATGTTAGACTGCCGGATAACTGATTATACGGAGCTACTAGTTCCCTCAATGATGATATGTTGAAGAGCGATAAAGGCAGTGCATCTGTCAAACTGTTGGTACCAAGACGCAACCACTCCAGTTTTTGAGAGGTTTCCAATACTTGCAGGGATGGAACCCTTAAAATTGTTGGTCCCAAAGCGCAGGACTTTGATCTCTGAGCATTGAGACAGGGTAGCTGGAATCTCGCCACCGATGTGATTGACTGACGCATTAAAGTATTCCAGTTTCGGGAGATTAGTACAGAGATCATCAGGAAGTGTCCCATTAAGGGAGTTGTTCATGAAACCAATAGCCCGCAACGAAGAAATGTTGAAAATCGACCGAGGGATTGGACCACTTAGACTGTTATTATTCAGGATTAATTCCATTCGAGTAAGGTACTCTAAGCTTTTGGGGATCAGCCCGCTTAGCGTATTGTCCTGCATGTACAAATATCGCAATCGCCTCAAATTGCCGATTTGATCTGGGATGAAACCATAGAAGTTGTTTCCGCTTACGTCAAGAGACACAAGGAAGGAGAGATTCCCAACTTCTTTGGCAATTGTGCCTTGGAAGTGTCCCCCGGATAGATCCAAAGCCGCAACTCTTTGGCGCTTCCAATTGCAACTGATGCCGACCCAATCGCAAACAGAGGTGCCTTTGGTCCAATTGGTAGCTAATATGCTGAAGGGATCGTTTGTTACGTGAGACTTGATGGAAAGAAGTGCAGATTCATCAGTGGAAATGCTCTTGAATGCTGGGTTAGCGCTACAAGCAATGACGAAGAAGTATTGGAGGGTAAAACACAGTAACAATTTGGACATCTTTGCCATCGATGCTGCTGTCAAATGGGAAGATAATGTATGTTATGCACAGATTATGTTGGCTTGACCTTTATATATCGAGTTGATATTTGGTTCTAGTTTTACAACACCTCTTCAGATCTGATTGTCGTCGTACTCAGCTTTCTTTATCTAAAACCTTGAAAGTCCATTTTGTCATTTTGCCACAGAACAGGTTAACTTGAGTTGACTAGCATTCCATGAATAATACGAATTTGTGTGTTGGGTTTATAGCAAAAAGAAAGAAAATGATGGGAGCAATCAGTCACTGTTCATATTGGAATGGATGTGGAGGGGATTCGTATTGCATCCAAGATACGCAACTCTGCCATCAAAATCAGAAACAGACCTTTGAGCTTTGCAGGCTAAGAAAATTGATCAGCTTTTCACTGTTCAGCTTGTCAAATTGACCCACCAAGAAAAAATCTCTAATGAAATTATGATGCCGTTTCGACGACCTACAACAAGTAATTGACTCGTGGTTGATTAATTAGCAATTAAATCGAAAGCCACAAAGTGGTTGCTGTTTCTTTCTCTTTCTTTTTTTTTCTTTTTTTTTTTTTTGGCTGAGAATTTGCAACATGTACACACACAATCGAGTTCAAAAAAAAATTAGTTTACGTTCATTTTTCAAATTGTACAAATTTTGGTTCAAATCTCAAAAATCAATGTGAATTATATTTTTGGAAGAGAGGGGAATAACTTTTATTTTCGATTGAAAATAACTCAAAATTGTGCATTCCATGAAGAAAATAAATTAATACAGTCGTGTGTGTTAATCAATTTATGTGGTTTGACTTCGAAAATAGATACGCATATTATTGTAAGTTATTACATCTAAAATTACGAATAATTGTTGCTCCGCTTTCATCATGTACGTACGTGCGTTATCGAATTTCTCATCATTCGTACGAACAAACAAATACATTAACTTCTAAGCATTAATCAAACTACATGTAACGCAGACACGACCGAAAGAATATTATTTAACGGTATTGGCATGCATGTGGCATCTGGTGATTGACAGTTTTGCTAATTAAACGGTATAAAGACCTTACGGAGTAGATTATAGATTATATATACGTGCCTATTGATCCATTAAGAAAAGAATTGTAGAGGCGAATGTTCTGAAGTAAGAAAAAACTTGAGGCCCGGCTGAAAGTAGCTTTGAGTATTAACTATTAAGAGACCTAGGATGAATCAGCCCTGAATGGCTTCCATAATTTATATCGTTGACTCAAACCATTTCCCCACTTCCTTTTCCTGTGGAAGAAATTTTAATTAGATCAATTGATTCATCGGATTAACTCTCTAATCAGATACTCCCCATGAATTAAATTAATTGCTCTGTTCGTTATGCGGAAAAAATATAGTTAATCAAAATCAATCAAGTTATTGTTTGTCTCACTCCCATTAGAATCAATTTAATTTGATTTTAATTTCTCAAAAGACTTGAGATGATTAAAGCGTTCGACAGTGACGGAGTGGTGGTGTCACTTACGTGGCGGGACTCCTGTCTTGCATTTTATTATGTATGACAAAAAATTGTGACTTTTCCTCTTTGTTATAAAATTCTATTATGGTTCGGAAAAAAAAGTATAAAAAAAAAAAAAATGTAACGATCAGTTCCTGAACACTTCTATTATAGTATCAAAATATCATCATTAGTCATTTTCATCAATGAAATTATTGTTTGTCTCAGACCTGTTACATTCAATTTAAATTTTTCAAAAGGTTTGAAATGATTAAATCGTTTGACAGTGAAGTGCTGGTGTCGTCACTTATGAATGATTTAACGACTCACTGAAATTGTGTTTGTTCTAAGATTACTATCCACAATCGTTCCATTTGTTTGTGAAGTTCAAAAAAAAAAAAAAGACGAATTAATTAACACTAATCAATGGCGACCCGGCTTCAGGTCTTCCTTCTTTTGTTTGGCACAGTATTATATCTATATAAGTCACCTGGTTTCTTAATTCAAAAGCTGATCAAGTCTCATTGTTTGATTAATAATTCTTGTGAAGCATACAAATTAAGCTCTAAGCACCATCTTCTTAGTGAAATTAGCTTTGTTAAACTCCAATGGTTCGGTTAGAAATCATCGAGCTATGGCGAGGAGGACGTTGGCTTCGAAGATTGGTCATGAATATGACGCAATTACAGGAACTGAGTTTCGGACATTGTTCGGGGAGCGTCGAAGTTACATATAAGGTTAATAATTTAAGTGTACATAGTTCAAATGGTTAAGAGGTAGAAGTTTGTTAGGAATATAAAATAAAATAAAAGAAAAAAAGATTCTGTAAAGATTCTAAGGAAACCACTCAGGGATTGAGTTGATTGAGTCTCATGTAATCTCCTCAAGAATCTTATCACAAAATAGTAGTATTAGTTCTAATGCAACCACAATCCACAATCCCGTGTAATTATGATTCGGATAGAACTCTTCCTCTTATGTATAAAGAGAATATATATATATAGAGTTTGTAGAAAAATTACACTATAAATAATACATTTTATAATAACACCAGTTTGGCCTGTACGTTCGCAATCAATATTTTCAATTATGATGGTGGCTTCAAACAAAGCTTTGCTGGTGTGGTTCTTTTTCTTCCTGTTTTTGGGGTGCCAACCAGGAGTTTTCGCTGAGAAAAAGGTATATCTCCTCAGTTTATCCGGTCTCCAAAAATATTTCATTTTTATTAATGATTTCGTGGATTTTGCATGCATGACACACTCCTAAATAATTTTGGTGCGTGATGCTGGTGGTTGCAGCCGTATATAGTGTACTTGGGAGGTCATTCACATGGTCCAGAAATAAATTTGAACGATCTTGATCGAGTAACAAATTCTCACCATGATTTGTTGGCTTCAATATTGGGAAGGTTAGTTCTATAAACAAGCCTTCATGCGTTGATCGATTTTGAAGTTGCAAAACTTTCGTGAAATCAAATCAATAGACAAATTTTCAGATTTGGAAATGGAGTATGTTTTTACACTGTTGTTCCATTGAAATTTTGATGCAATTCTTGCAAGAACAAACTTGGCCCTAATTGAAATTACGAATTTTGCTTCCAGAAATATTGCTTGTTGAGGAATGACGAACTCAGACGATTTGGTGTTGCTTTTCATTGGTTATTATCATTGAATTGGCTAGGTTTGTTTAGTGCTGAATGGTAATTTCTTATATGGAATTTGTCCAGTTACTGATGTAAGTAGGATTAAAGTTCATATTACTAATTACCAAATTTTTTCGTTGAGTTATAGTCAACTCTTCCTTCCATTAAGCATTAGTTTTCAAGGGTGATTCAATCATTTAATAAAAAAGTTTGATAAGCTTATGTGTTTTGTATATGTGTGGAATATGTTGTCTAATTGTTGAATCATATCCAAATTAAATTAGCCCTAACAAATAAGTTTTTTGAAGCAGCCAAGAGGTTGCGAAAGAAGCAATAATTTATTCATACAAGAGAAACATAAATGGCTTTGCCGCCACTCTCGAGGAGGAAGATGCAGAAAAGATTGCAAGTATGTATCTTTTTTGTACACTTTTTGTTATTATTATTACTCAATTGTCACATACTGTTTTTTTTTTCTTTTGTGATGTCTGCTAGGTATTTTTGGCCAATGCAAAAAAAAAATAAAAATACTATATCCCTTAAAACAAAAAGGAGAAAAAATTTGTATTAATTTTTTTGGACTGAAGTAGTATAATACTTCAGCTGGATTACAATGCGGAGATATTAACTAAAATTAATAATGAATGTAAATGATTATTAATGTGGTGATCACCTACCTATTGTTAAAGATAATCATCATGAAAAAGAGCTCATCAAGAAGAGAGTTCTTGTTTAATATATGAGTTTGTCTTATACATAAGGGCTGAAATGATAAGTGTTAAATAGTTGATAACCTTAGTTTTTTTTATTATCTAGCAGTGAAAATAGCTTAATTATCATGTGTAGAAAACCTATAAATATGGCTTCTATCTCAATATTTGGAATTTAACTCAGGCACAATATAGTCCTTCAATTCATCTCTCGTTAGTATTTTTATTGTCTCTCTTTTTTATTTCTCTTGGTATCAGAGCAGGTTCCGCCCTACTTCTGTGCCATGCTTCCACTTATTTTTTCTTTCAAGAAATAAACTATCGGTTTTCTATTCACATCTATATTCCATTACCTTGGATACCCCAAACATATCAAGATTATTCTTCGTCAAAATTACTCCCTACCACCCCATCACGGGTATTCCTACTTAGATTCACTCAAAGCCCAGGCAACATAAACATCTGACTTACCCTCAATCACCACCACCTCTTATCAAATATAAGTCCTATGTCGATCACAAAAATTTTGTGATTGTCAAAAGGAAAAAAAAAAAAAGTAAATGACAAAGAGAAAAATATCTCTATTTACAAAAATTCACATTATGGCAAACGTTCGATCTCTTCTCAGAAGAAGATATTGGACTTGTTATTCAAAAATTTAACACAGCAGTGAGAATCGATATAGTTCGTTTCTCAACAATTTCTAACAGTTAACAATTTGAGCACACCACTCAAAAACACATTAAGCCACTTGCGTTATCACCGAAAAGCAGCCCAAAATATGGTCAGAATCACTCAAGAAATAGACTGTGTCTCCAATCCCGATTTAATTTGAGGGAAGATGTTAAAGATAATTATCATGAAAAAGAGATCATCAAGAAGAGAGTCCTTGTTTAACTTATGAGTTAGTCTTATAGATTAAGGGCTGGAATGATAAGTGTTGAGTAGTTAATAATCTTAGTTTTTTTATTATTATCTAGTAGTAAAAAATAAGTGTGCTTGTTTGGGCGTCATCTTATATTTCATTTTGACACTTAAAAGTAGAAAGTGTTTTAAGTTGAAAACTAAATGAGAAATGATAATGTTGTTTGGATGGTATTTTGAGCAAAAAGTTGTTTGGATGTTGGTTTTGAAAAAAAATATTTTGAACTTGAAAATATCAAGTACGAGTCATCACTAAACAATTAAATATTGTTAATTATAGTCGCTGCAAAAAAGAACTTTTCCAAAAACAATCACTCAACAACGAAATCCTGCCAAATTTGTCACTGAACTATTTGTAGTTCTAAAATGGTATTACACTAACAAAAAGTGTTTCAAGTTAGAATTTAAAATGTAAATCAGAAAGTTGTTTGGATGATGTTTTCTTTTTCATTGGGTTTTGTGTTTAAGAGGTAAAATGAGTTAAAATGTAAAATGAGTGCTCGTCCAAACAAACACTAATTATATGTGTAGAAAGCCTATAAATATGACTTTTATCTCAATATTTAGAATTTAACTCAGGCACAATATAGTCCTTCAATTCATCTCTCGTTAGTGTTTTTATTGTCTCTCTTTTTTATTTTTCTCTCCAATATGTAGCGCATCCGGAAGTGATATCGGTATTCGAAAATAAAGGGAGAAATTTGCACACAACACATTCATGGAACTTCATGAATCTTGAGGACTTCAATGGTGAAGTTCTTACAGACTCACTCTGGAGCCGATCCAACTTTGGTAAAGACACCATCATTGCTACGATTGACTCTGGGGTATGGCCTGAATCGGAGAGTTTCCACGACCACGGCTTCGGTCCGATTCCGTCCAAATGGAGAGGTTCTTGCCAGAATTCCAGCATCGTTCCATGCAACAAGTACGTTGTTAATTACATATTTATTCCCACCTATCCCGATGTAATTGTTTAATTTAAATTATTCATTTCTAGTGAAAATTCAAATAGACATTTAATTATTTCTATCTATCCCTATATAATTATCCAATTTGAATTTTTATTTTCAGTGAAAATTCAACTAGACAACAAGTAATATTTCATAACCAACTTAAATTTTATACCGTACAAAGTAACCCTTCATATAATCAACAACAACAATTATAATCAGGAAGCTGATTGGAGCAAGGTACTATAACAAAGCATACCTGGAAGAAACCAGAGCGAACCTGAGCCATGACATGAATTCCCCCCGGGACCACGAGGGCCACGGGACCCACACCCTCTCCACCGCCGGCGGAAACTTTGTGACCAACACCACCATCTTCGGCGTCCCTCTCGGCACCATCAAAGGTGGCTCTCCGGCAGCCAGGGTGGCGTCTTACAAAGTCTGCTGGCCCCTAGTGCAAGGGTTCAACGGCACTTGCTTCGATGGTGATATCTTGGCCGCGTTTGATCAGGCCATACACGACGGCGCCGACGTGATTTCCTTGTCTCTCGGCGGCGATCCCGAAGATTATTTCGAAGATGCAATTGCCATTGGTGCTTTCCATGCCCTCCAAAAGAATATCGTGGTTGTTGCCTCGGGCGGGAATTCCGGGCCGGTTCCGGGCACTGTTTCTAACCTGGCTCCTTGGTTGCTCACGGTGGCCGCCAGCACCCTTGATCGGAGGTTTCAATCCGCCGTCCAGCTTCCCAATGGAATCCTCCTCAAGGTAACTCAGTGATATGGCGATTCCAAAAGCGAAAAGTTGTTAAAACCCGTGACAATAAGCTCTTTCTTAGTTTTGTACTTTTGTTTGATTGATTATAATGGTTCAATATGCTGAAAATTAACTTGTGTGTTTAAATTAAACTATAGGGAGTAAGTCTTTCTAGAGCATTGCCAGTGAAAAAATTCTACCCCATGATTTATGCTGGGTTGGCCGGAAATGCTAACTCTTCCGTCCGAGATGCGTAAGCTGGTCACATTATAGCTAAAAAATTTCTCATAATTTAAGTGATTCATATTATATATGTATACATATGTTATTTTGTTATACATGTGTTTTGAAATGGTACAGTGAACGGTGCTTTCTCGACACTCTTGATCCGGAGAAAGTGAAAGGAAAGATATTGGTGTGCCTGAGAGGTAAGTCAGACAGAGTGGAGAAAGGATATGTGGCTGCTCAGGCCGGTGCCGTTGGAATGATTCTGTGTAACAATGCTGTTTTCGGGGATCGAATCACGGCCGATCCTCATTTCCTTCCGGCCATACAAATCAGTTACCAAGACAGCCTTCTCCTCTATTCCTACATGAACTCCACCAAGTAAAATCATCATACACAAAATACTGCTCTGCCTCTACTACTAATTTGATGGTCATAGTTCAAAGAATTATTCATTTGTTTCGGAGATTAATGTGGGATCAATTATGAATTTTCGACAGGGAATCAAAGGCTTACATACAACCTCCTGAAGCAGTGTTTCAGACTAAACCATCTCCCCAAGTAGCACCGTTCTCTTCCCGAGGTCCTAATTTAATAAATCCCGAGATTATCAAGGTTAGTCCCAAGTTTGTTTATTAACATTATTAATATTCATTATTATCTTTGTTTGTGTTGAATTTATATTGTTTGTTGATAATTGGGATTTCACTTGCAGCCTGATATTACTGCTCCAGGGGTGCAGATCATTGCATCATTCTCTCCATATGGTTCACTAACTGCTGCAGACATCGATAAGCGCCAATCTTCTTTTGCTCTGTTGTCCGGAACTTCCATGTCATGTCCTCACGTTTCCGGAGTTGTTGGCCTCCTCAGGACACTCCACCCCGACTGGAGTCCTGCCGCCATCAAATCCGCCATCATGACCACAGGCCGAACCCGCGACAACACGAAGAACCCGATGGAGGACATGTATGACGACAAGAAGTCCGATCCGTTTGGTTATGGTTCCGGACATTTGAGGCCTAATCGTGCCATGGATCCGGGTTTGGTATATGACTTGACCTTGAAGGATCATTTGAACTTCCTCTGTGGAACTGGCTACAACGAAACGGCGATTCGTTTGGTTACCGGTAAGCCATACAGATGTCCTGAGAAATTCGACCTCAACGACTTCAACTATCCATCTATTTCTGTCACAAACCTCGAGCCGCTCAAACAAGTCACGGTGAAGCGCACGCTGAAGAATGTTGGCCTTCCTGGAACTTATATTGCTCGGTTACGCCACCCTGCTGGAGTGTCTGTGACTGTGAAGCCGGAGATGTTGACTTTCGGTCGGTATGGAGAAGAGCTGAGCTTTGAGTTGACTGTGAAAGCTGGAAAAAGTCATCATCATCATCACAATGCTTTATCACCTGATCATGGTCGTCATGGATTTGGAGAGTTGCTGTGGACAGACGGAAAGCATTACGTGCGTTCTCCAATAGCTGTTTCTTTTGCAGCCAAGAAGAATTGATTAGGGAGACTGCAAAATGTCATAAAGAAACTGTCTATATTGGCAAGTTCATTTGAATAGTTGTAGGTAGAGTTTAGTTCTTAATTAGTAGCAGTAGGAGTAGTTGTGGCGGTGTTATTTTCCAAACTAATGGTCTTTTCAGTTATGAGATTATGATATCCACCATTAGAAGTCTAAAAAGTAATGAATTTTTTTGAAGGCATTGGGAATGGAATTTCTTCAACTGTGAAAAACTTGGAAGTTACTGGAGCTGTAAGGTTTTATTATTCACGAGAAAAAGTTGCGGAGCATTTGTACCTGATACTAAGAACAAAAACTCTGAATTCCTTACAAATTAAGAGTGTGTGTGTATGTGTGTTGGTGGGGAATTTATGTGGACTGATCTTGGAATGCGCGGATATTCTTGTTTCTTAGTTTTATCATATCCCATGGGACTGTATGGAACTCAGGAAACTAATGATTAAAGTTCATACTTAATAGTGGTTGGGTGGTCTCGATAGAGACCTAATGATCCGATTTTGGTGGATTTGAAATGAAACCATTATTAGGCGATTTAATCATAGTTAAGGTCATTGCAGTGCTTGTTAGTTGAGATGAGAATTAAGTTTTCATTTTGATGCTTAAAAGCAATGGAGTTCCTTTTCCAGTAATAAAATTAACTTCATGAACCATATGTAGTTAGCATACTAAAAGTAATTAAACAAGAAATTCTAATGATATTGTAGCGAAAAATTTACAATTACGCTACTTACATGACTTCAGGGAGTGATTCTGCCAGACCTACCTGAAAACGAAATCCATCTGAAAGTCAAAAAAATAAAAATAAAAAAATGATCTTATTCTGGTTTCATCACTCTCCCTACTCCCACGCCTGAATCCAATTTGGCTGATATCTTTTCCCTTTGTGCACCTAAAGAGTAAAGCAAACATCAGGCGGCTTCTGTATGTGGAATCATGATCAAGGAATTGGTGGAACATTGCCCACAAGTTGGTTCATGGAAAGGGTCAAATTTCGTAACGTTGTGATGTTGAATAGAGATGGAGGAATCTTGCCAGTTAGCTTGTTTGATTGCAGATGCAGCCCTACAAGACTCGTCAACTGCCCTAACTCGGGTGGGATTTCGCTATTCAGCATATTGCGAGAGAGAGACAGATATTGAAGCGCGGAAATGTTAGCCATGGCAGGTGGTATGCCTCCTGCGCGCGTGATCAAACTTTGATAACTAGAGAAAAGTAATTTCAATTCTAGCACTGCAGACTATTAGGAACCAGTGTTGAATGTAAGAAAATTAAATATACCTCTGAGGTAATTAGAATCCAAGTTAATCCAGGAGAGTGCGCTGCATTGTGAGAGACTAGAAGGGATTTGGCCGGTAAGTCTGTTATCATTGAGCTCTAAATACGCCAAGTTTGGATGCCTGAATCCTAGATCTTTCGGCAAGTTACCGTATAATCTGTTTCCTCCTAAACCAATTCTCTTCCAGGTGGAGGAATTTCCCCAACTCAAATCTAACTTCCCTGTCGACGTAACAAAAACAAAAATGTTTAAAACAAACCTTTCAAAAGAAGGCGAAACGAGGAACTGACACAACGAAAATGAACCTGTTAAGTTGTTAGCGGTGAGATGCAAATACTCAAGTGATGACATATTCCAAATGTCAGCTTGAATTAGCCCTTGGAAATTGTTGTACGGCACAGAAAATTGTTTCATCGAACGACAATAAGACAAGCTAGAAGGGATTGGTCCAGTGAGGATGTTTGTAGAGAGAAGCACACGTTCGAGATTCATGGCGTTCTTGCACATATCGCCCGGAAGGCCGCTGGATAACTGATTAAGAAAAGCTATTAGGACACTCAGTGAAGATATATTGAAAAGTCTTGAAGGTATTACACCTGTTAACTCGTTTCTACCGAGATCCAACTGCTCTAGTTTTGAAAGGTTGCCAACATTTTCAGGAATGGAACCCGTAAAATAATTGCCTTCCAGAAAAAGGAACTTGATCTCTGAGCACTGAGACAGGGTAGCCGGAATTTTGCCGCCGATGTGATTGTATGACACATTAAAGTATTCCAATTTCGGGAGATTAGTACAGAGATCTTCCGGAAGTGTCCCATTGAGGAAGTTATACATCAAGTCAACAGAACGAAACGAAGAAATGTTGAAAATGGACCGGGGGATTGGTCCACTGAGGCTGTTATTATTCAGGACTAATTCTTCCATTCTGGTGAAGAACCCGAAGCTCTGTGGTATCTGGCCGCTTAGTGCATTGAGCTGCATATATAGGTATCTCAATCTCTTCAAATAGCCAATTTCATATGGGATGAAGCCATAGAAATTGTTTCTGCTCATGTCAAGAGAAACAAGGAAGGAGAGATTCCCAACTTCTTTGGCTATTGTGCCTTGGAACGATCTCGCGGACAGATCCAATGCCGTAACTCTTTGGTTCTTTTGACTGCAGGTTATGCCTATCCAATTGCAAACAGAGGTTCCTCTGGTCCAATTGGTAGCTAATATGCTAAAGGGATCGTTTGTTATGTAAGACTTGATGGCAAGAAGAGCAGATTCATCAGTGGAAATGCTCTTGAATATTGGGTTAGCGCTACAAGCAATGAAGCTGCAGTATTGGAATGAAAAAAACAGTAACAATTTGGAGATCTTTCCCATTGATGATGATGTCCTGTTGAACACAATAGCATAATCGCATTGATTTTAGGTGAAAGAAGAGAGGTTGGCGGAAAGGCTAAAGATAAAAATCATCTCGACAGATGGTGGTCTAATTATTCAACCACCCTAATAATATAATGATGGCTACTTGAGAGTCCAACCAGTCAAGACAACTGTCTACAGAAGTTGACTTCAGCTTCCATGATTCTGTACGTGTTGGATTTCTACTGAAAGCACAAAATGATTGGAGTTTTCATATCTTATCATCTTTACTAATTTCCCTGATGTGGAGCCATAAGCATCCAAGTGAAGAGACCAAGTCAGAACACACCGAGTAAAAAAGGATGACTTTGTCCAAGGTCATCATCAAATTGACTCCTTTTGACAATTCTATGTCTCACATTTTGTGTATCACTCGGCATCTGTACCCTTATGAATCGGACCACTTTTGTAACGTTTCCTGCGTTAAACATAATCGACAGTTTCTTTTATTACTTAGATGGTTTTTTAATTTTATTTTAATGATGGTGGCCTAGTGGTTGTGTACGCTACAATCCGTGATAGAGCCTTCATGATCTGAGTTAAAGTCATATTGCAGTTCTAGTTATTAGTGATGAATAGAGTTCCATTTTGCTGCTTATAATAAGTACTAATGAAATTACCTTTGCACAAATAAAACATTCATGTAACATAGTTGATATACTAAAAGTAATTTTGCCAGATCACAGGACTCGGGAGATTCTAATACTACTTTACAGAAAACCACTTTATATATAGAATGAGTTGTTCAGCCGGATCCGCGCTTATGGACTTTTAGAGGTCAAGTTCTGCTGCGGGATAAGGCGAGTTGATTCACTCTGGTTGCATCGCTCGTACTAGTCCTGTAGCCGGATTTTGCTATACCACAACCCCTTCCTCGCTGTGTACATTGATGAGTAAAACAACACCATAATGCTGCTTTGGTTCCTAAAATCCGGAAGATCCAGGGATTGGTGGAACATTGCCCGCGAATTGGTTTTTTTGGCAAGGGCAAGTTCTCTTAGTTTTGTGATGTTAGATATAGCAGCAGGGATTTTGCCACTTAGGTTGTTTGATTGCACATATAGTCTTGTAATTCCCAAAATACGTCGATGTATTGCATGCAGTCGAGACTTGAAATGAGCACCAAATGTGAATATATGAATTGTTTCATTTTTGGTTTGTATTCACTTCCAATAAAAAAGAAAAAAAGCAAAACAAAACAAAACGACCAGTGTTTGGTGTAGCACTTACTTTATGATGTATTCTTCTTCTTTCCTTGGTCTTTCGTTCTGTCATATTCAAGTCAAGCGAAAATTTCAAAAAGACACTAAAAGTGAAATGATGACTTTGAAGATCCGATTTCATTGTGAAATTGACTCCTTTTAAGTTTTAAATGGAATGGCAGCTCTCTATTTCACATTTTGAGTATCATTTTGAATCTGTCCTTATGAGTATCACCGATTTATAGCATTTCCTACAACTAACATCATCGTGCACGAATAGTTTCTATTAATGTTAAGTTTGATAAATTGACCCTATTCTGTTTGAGGTTTTAGTAGTTAGGCTTCCATATAGTATTAGATTACCACCAAAATATCGATGTTTTACTTTGGAACGTAGCAAAAGGCAGAATGAGTGGTTCTGTATGTTATAACCATCTGATCTGGTCAATGTAGATTTGAAATGATATGGTTACATAACTTTATCTTTGTAATATATTAAGGGAATCACTGTATTGTTCGGTCAATATTTCGCGTATCACTATTGAGATTATATTTTAATTTTTCAGTGAACTACTATTTGTATACAAAAAGTATATAAGATTAAAGATGTAGTTCAGTTAAATTGGTAAAAAGCATATACAAACAATCAATACAGACCAAAAAGTGGGTGTTTTTGCCCAATTTTGAAGTTTGATAATGCCCAGCCAAAGTATTCTTGATGGCCTGAACCCTTTCTACTTGCATTCTTCATAAACCAAATACTCCCTCCTCCGTCCTGAAATTATTATTAAATTTGAATTTTCATTTTTTTTTATTTAGTTTGAACTATATTAAAACTGAAAATTTTAAATGGATAATCATTTCAACTGAAACCGGTGTGGGTCGGGCGGTTTTTCGGGTCAGACCGAATAAACCTCTAATTTTGGGTATGAGAGTGTTTTTTTTTTCCCTTTAAATGAATTTTTAACAATTGCTTAATTCTATTATCTTTCTCGAGGTTGTAAATGATCAAAGGCAAAATTGTGAATTCACTTCAAAACAATGTTTATAAGAATTTTAATCTTGGTACTGCCGTCGTTTTTCTTCAGTCACTTTTGAAGAATTATTACTTCAACAATGGCTACATATTGACCATTCCCTTTTCCCGCCAACTAAACCAGACAATCAATCAGTTTTCTTACTTCTTTCCGGACACAGAATGCGAAATCGACTCGGTTATTACTTATTACTCAAAAAAATACATTAAAAAAAATAATCCTTCTCCGTTTCTAATAACAAAACGTGTTTTCAATTTGATTCAGGATGAGGAAACTAAACTTTCATCTGTCTACATATACGACATTAAGCGGTGTTGTAATTAACCCTATTACGTCAGGTTTTCTTTCTGCATAGAAAGAATTCAGAGATATTCCAAGTAAGATCCTCTGTTTTTTTTCCCTGGAAAAAAGAAAGAAATTGAGAATGGCGTCATTGGTGGTCTCAATCCCCGGAAACGTGAATTATCGCCATCGAAGTCGTAAGAACCCACACCCAAAAGTCGCTCCATTCAACTGTATTTTAGATTTATATCGATTTCCATCACGGCACAATCAAATCTACAATAATGTGGCTCCTACCAGCAAACCTCCTGATTCTGGTAAACAAGATTGCGGCTTGAAAAACAAAGCAATTCCGGAAAGGGAAAGATCATCTCGGAAAAGAAGACACCGACAGCAGATAATTCTGAAGCAGCACCTGAAAACGACAATAGCAACCCGAAGAGGTCCATGCAGGTTGAGAACCCGGCTGAAAATAATCAAGACAGAGTTGTTGTTTTGTCCGATGAGAAGATTGATGATCGGGAGAAAAGGAAATCCCGGATAAAATTTAAAATCAAAGTTGCTTCCCCAGACACAAAGGAGGAACTTGCTCAAGTTACCGAGAAACCGAGTAATCAAACTAATGAAGCTGATCTTCCTCCTCTCCCGGAGAGATTCGTGAGGAAAATAAGGCAAATGGGATTTACAGGGGACCCGATTTTGGTGATTCAGAAGCAGCTGTTCGTGTCAGATGTTAAGAAAGGTTTAGGGAGATTGTCAATTCCGGTGAACCAAATAAAACCCGAAACGTTTTTGAAACCTGAAGAGATAAGGATGTTGAATGTTCGAGAATCGAACCCGTCGATTAGATCGATTCTGATCGACCATCGTCTTGCCGAACGAGAAATCAGTTTGAAGAAATGGTTTATGAGTAAATCAGGGCAATACGTCCTGATTTCAGATTGGTACCCGGTGGTGCTAGATAATCAGCTCAAGGAAAACACACGTATTCAAGTTTGGTCGTTTAGGATGAGAGGACGATTGTACTTTATTTTGGTTAAGTTGGATAAATAGTTTAGAACATTACCTAGGAATAGGATATCAATTATTCCCTTCGTCCCGAAATTATAAATTATTGTCCAATTTGGATTTCATTTTTAGTCCAAATTATACTAAAACTAACAATGCAAACTGGACGATAATTTTGGGACAAAGAGAGTAATTGATAATTTTTATTTATTAATTTGCTAGTTGAAGATTGACTTGTGCTCATTTTAGTGGCTAGAACTATAATTTCTTCAAATAGGTTATTGCTTTGTTTGTTGATTTCATCTTCATAATATATTTTCTATTTTTTTTTTATTTAAAGCTCCGAACAAGTTTTGTTAATGTTAATAGGTTGCATGCGAGAAAGATTTTTCAAATATCATAGACATAAAGCATCAGCATGCTTGTTAGAGCAATCTAGGCACTTATTTGTGAAACAATGGCTTTGAAATTGCTTCAACTATAGATAGGCAGAGAGCTTCGGGATAGAAAATTCTGTGCAACTTTCATTTGAGTTTGGCATTGTAATTAATTTGTTTGTCTTTGGTAGATGCTACTTCAAAGTTGGACAATATCTGCAGAACTAATATCTTCAAAATACTTGTGCGCGCAATTAGAATCAATGATGATTAATTCTTTTTCTTCAATTCTTCAATTGGGAAATTTTGAATTAGTGACGAGGGAGAATTAAATTATTTCCCCTATATAAAATATTTAAAGACCTCTTTATTAATTGATGATTTTAAGGAGATTTCTCAATATTTTCTGTTTGATCGTGGTTTCTACTTAGCAAATTTCCCGATATTCGATCTATTTTACTCAATTAACGGAAGAAATTTGCCAATATAGAGGAAATAATTACGAATATGAATCTTTTGATATTTTCGAATTTCCCCTTTTTTTTTGGTGTTTCCAAATTAACTGTACTGGGAACTTTTTCCTTTTGGCCTATATATAGTCCTCGCCCTCCTCCCTCAAAATCTAAGCCCTAGTACTTCACTTGTTTCTTTCTGCCAGTAAAAGGTATGCAAATTCTTTATCATTTTCTGTTTTGAGCCGGTTAATTTGTTCAATTGCTGCTTTAGTTTTTCTTTCGGCTTAAATGTCGTTTTGTCCAAAACCTCTTCTTGCTAAGTGTTAGATTTTTTTTTTTTTTTTGTACAGTAGATACAAGAGTAAATAGTTTGTTTCACGCTTAATTTGTTTCGATATGAAAGATATAACATGCAGTTTTATGGTCTATTTACTGCTCTCAATATATACTACTACTACATTGCTCAATATTGTTTGTTGATCCAATTAATCTCAATTCTATGCACCAAAATTAGATTGTTCGACAACGATCGGCCATCTGCTCTGCGGCTAAACACGAAAAAACTGCATAGACAATTGTTGATTCTATCACATATATTTGAAGCTATCTTGTTTGCATGAATTTAGCCACAAATACACCCTCTGGTATTTTTTGAAATAAACTTTGGCTTTAGAATTATTTTAATTTAGG